CTGGGTTCCAACGCCCCCCCCCCCCCTCCCAGGTTTGAGCATCGGAAGCTGGACCATTCCGGTGGATGCTGAGAGGCAGGCCAAGGTGCTCGCAGAAGTGCAGCAACAAGGGCACCACAGCGTGTGCTCCAGGCCTGACACGCAGACGTGGAGCAGTCCCGTCATGAACGCTCCCTGGATACTCTGCGACCTCAGACATCAACTTCTGCAAACCAGGATCTTTGCGATTCGGCCTGTAGTTCAGGACACATGCAGTGCAGGCTCTGATGTTCCACACAAGCAAGTCTTTTGGATGGTTGTCATCGCTGCACGACCCTGGCTGCCCCTCGCTTCTACCAATTGAAGAGGGCTTTCGATCTGCCAAGTCTTCCAACGTTTCAATGAAGCAGCTGCTGGATGACAAGTTAGAGGGAAAAGTCGCCGTCAGATTATTGCGCTTGCACACAAGGAACAGCTTCACCATGCTTCAGAAAAACAGTCGACGCAACTCAGACGCGAGCATTGGATGGCCCGCATCTGGAAGGGATTGCCAGAGTTTGACCACCTCGCGCGACGGTCGGTCTGAACTTTTGGTACGTTCGTGCTATGCTGGACATCTATCGTCGTGAGTCAACTGTTGACTCCAGCAGCCAAGAGGACAATGAGCTCACGGGGCGAAAGAAACGAGACGTCTGGCCATGAGGCCGTTGTCGACTTGTCCGAGCAGATGCATAGCGATGCATAGAACCCGGCCTCCAACGACGGCAGCCCCTGAACAGTGATGGGCCGCGAGTTCGGGCAGAAGGGTCTGGGTTTAGTCTGCTGTAGAAAGTGCTGAATGCGACAAGCCGGGAATAGCACAGTGCATCACCTTCAGCCTTTACATCTCAACCGATATCGACTGCTCTGCATGAACCAACTTTTGGCAATGGCTTTGTCGGTTCGAGTGGTTGCGTGCGTGCGTGCACGCTAGAGAAGCAATTTCACCTCCCGGTCAGAGGAGATGAATCGTAGAGTCGCATCAGGTCAAGGACTGCTGTGCCCTTCCTGTAAACACCGGCATATTGTCGACTGCACCAGCGACGGCTCCTTCTGAACTATACTCAAACGGTAAATGAATACTCGACAGACTCGTGTTCATCACAGTCCGGCACGACCTCCACCATCTGAGTGTCCACACGAGGCAGGCTTAGGTAAGCATCCGTGCCGAAGCCCGGCAGAGACACCAGCTGGAGAGAACCGCCCAGGTACCTCGCATGGAGCCGACTTAGTGGCAGACCTACCCCGTAGCCACTCAATGGGGAAGCTTTCTTTGAGGTCGTATACATGTACGACCACACCCGCGTGCCAACATCGATTGGAATGCCCTGCGCCCGGTCACTGATGCGGATCATAACGTGGTCCTCATCAGCACAGACAATGATTTGGACGGGACGGTTCTCCAGGTCAGCCAGGTCAGTTTCCAAGTCCAGCGTGGCACGGAAGCTGTTCTTCAGCAATTCGCGCACGATGAAGCTGAGGATTCCGGGGATGTAGGCAAAACGAGGAGCAAAGCCGGCCGTCGGTGCTCCCTGCGAGAAGCCCTGCACCTCTAGCGGCGGCGCACGACCAAGGAAGTCGCGACAGGCGTTTTGCACGTCCTGGGCAGCTTCCCTGCAAACTTCCACTGCATCACACTGTGGATCAATTATTCCGATCGTGTGGCGGCCAGGGTGTGCGATGGCCAAATAGTGTGTCATGAGCAAGTTGCAGCCAAGACGATTGAGCAGAAAGTTATCGAGGAACTTATTGGAAAAACCGTCGAAGTCCTGGCCTCCACGAACCGAACGAAGCCTCTGCATGGCATGCGACATTAATTCGACCATGTTGTCTTGGCGCTTCAGAATCCTCTGAAGGGAACCCTGGAACTTCACAGGCTCTTTGGGATCAGCCTTGCGCATGTAAGAGAACGAGGCCATGTGCTTCAGATGGGCATCGACGAGCTCCGGAATCTCTTTCCACTCTGGCACCTGTTCTATCCATCGGATCCTCTCCGCGAAACGCACAGGGATTTCATCGTGTAGAAAGGCTGCCAGTTCTGCTGGACGAGCGAACTCGTGCAGGCAGCTGTGAAGGCTCACAGGGCGTGGCTTCTTTGCCGCAAACCTTTCCACCTCGCTGGCACAGCACCGTCTAGTCCTGAACTTTGGCAGCTTACATCGGTGCAGCAACCTGAATCCAAGCATGTGGAAGCTGGCACAGGTGCCTGGGCGCAGACCTCCACACTTCCTGCTCTCCTTCTCCTAGTGAAAGTCTGCTTCCATGGTGCCAAAGGGTGCTCTGCACTCCTGGAACACGCAGCACATCTAGCTCAGGCCTGCGAACCACACGCTCAATTGCTCCACAACTTCAGCCCATGTCAAAGCTTGATGCAGATGCTCGCATCGGAAAGTCTGCGGAGACAAGCCAAGCTTCGCACATCGGTGTCCTTCAGGTCCGTAGGAGCAAGCCTCGAGAGCTGCAGCCCAGCTAGCACACGAAGCCTATAGATCTATAAAGTTCAAGCTTTCAGATTCACTATGGCAGAATGAGGCAGAGCAGCAGAAGATACGAGATGGTGTCTGCGACAAGATTGCGACTGAGCGAGATGAGCCGCTGCGCCTCAGCTCAAGCAGTCAGAACCTGCTGGTCACTGCTGGGCTCAGGATGCCGCCAGCTCTGCGCAGCTCCGATCCTTTTCCAAGACCTTCCAGGCGACATCCAAGGAAAAGTAAATTTCGTCTCCCGCGACGAAGGCTGCGAGTGAAGCCAAAAACATCATCAGAAGCACTTGCCTCTTGCAACTGCCACTGCAGGTGGTCATACACCTGGCAAATGTAGAATGTGAATAGAGTGTGAGATTCTGAGATGCTGCATGATGCTACACTGCTACCTTGACATGGCCAAACTTGAAAGGCCCACATCCGCGGTACTCTTCAAGAAACTCTGCGGATTGCGAGCCTCTGCCGCAGGAGTGCTGAGAAAAACAGAGCCCCAGGATCGATTCACGGATCTAAGATGCTTCTAAGCTCCCGGCTGGGAAAAGATGCGGATGGCTGAGGATGTCACGACAAAGTCCGCACATGCTTCGCACCTGAAGAGAATTAAAAGCACATAGGTCTGTAGCCATGGTATTACCCAGTCTTCCGCTTCACCCCAAAAGATTCGCCCTTGCCTCTTCCTCCGCCAGCGAGCTGCTCGCAGCATTCGCCCGGAGCCAGCTTTTCAGAAGTTCACACATCCGGGTCCTCCATACAATTCAAGGACAATCTGCATGGAACCATCCTCTTCGATTGTCCTCGTGCGAACCATCAAGACATTAAGGCAGGCTCAAAAAGTCCTGGGGTCGTTTTTGTAGGATCGCCTCCAACTAGGGCCAAAATCCCCCTTGGCACACGAGCAGCTACCCTTTGCACTGGAACGCGCATGGTGACAAGCAGGATCGGACCGTTAGAGATATGAAGTGCTCGTCTGTCTGCATGTCTTCAAGGCACAACTTCAAAACTTTGCATGTCTTGTATCTAGCCTGCTCCGCCCAGGCAGGTGAAGTGCGAGTCGTCTACTTCATCGGGCCACCGCCACGAACAAACAACTAAGTTACGTCCTAAGCTTGACAATTGAAACGCAGAGAGAACGCAAGAAAGTGTGCAGCCCACTAAGCTGTCGGCCAGTGCCTTGAAGACTCGCGCACGCCGGGACCGCTGGTAATCGTTGATGACGTCCAGGGCAGAAACAAGGTGCGCCTTTCACGGAGCCACGAGAGCCCCCCAAATCCCGAAATCCTTACCACCGTCTCCAAGCTGTCCTGCTCCCAGCGCTGGACACCCCGCTCTGTAGACGTTTGGCTACTGTTGAGCTCTCGTAGAGCCTGGGAGCTTCGCCGGCTTTGACATCAAGGTTTTTGGGTTTAGGCTGTGCAGTGCGGAGCTTCGAGAGTCTAAGGGGTGAGGTGCACAGATCCTCACTGCGAGCTGCACATCTTCGAAACATTGCTTTCTCGAAGCAACAGTTGAAAGCATCCGGGATTCCTGTGACACTGGTCCATCGGGGTGAAGCAGCCAGTAGACTTGCGAGTCATTCGGTGGCTCATGCGTGTTTCCGGAACTGTTTCAGTCGTAGAATCTCGCACTGACCGTTCGAAGCCCTGCGACCCAGCAAGGAAGAAACAAATCCTAGCTGCAGCTAGGACCTAGCACCTTTGCTGGAATAGCAAAAGAACAACCCACTTGAGGTGCAGGCAGGGTCCTGCACATGTTTGTTCACGATAGCCTGTACGGGACAGATCGCGCCGATTAGCTGGGGCAATTCTCCGAAGAGCTGCAGCTTTAGCGGTTCGAGGCTCATAGGCTCATGAGCAAAGGGTAAACTTTCCGGGTAAACGTTGGGGTCAATGGTTGTTGCCTTGCGATCGCAGGCTGAGCCACGAAATCATCCGAAGCAAGAGCACGGTCCTGCAACGAATCCTGCTGGCGTGTCTGTAATTGATTCGTGCCGCACGCCACGGCGGAGGCAAGCGGCATGCCACAATCTGGGCGAGTGAACCTCGGCGAAATCACGTTGCATCACCACTCGCCCTGATCAGAAGAGCGTGGGACCAGGCAAATCCAGAGACTGAGCCTTGCACGCTTTGGAAAACAGTGTTGCACTATACAGGGTCTCGTGCCCAAGCTGCACAAAAAAGCGGAGTATCACGGTGAGATCGTGTCATGCCATCGGAAAGGCCGCGCTGCCGGGGGGAAAAGCACAGCTTACTTTTGCGATTCCAGCACAGAGCCACCCTGTACATATCAGATCTGATGATCTGCGCCCCGCTCCTAGCAGGCCTGAGCTGGCCCAGAACGCCGAGTACCAGTAGAGTTGAAAGCTGAACGCCGGCCTATGCTGAGAGCTGAAAACCTCACCTCGCCGGTTCAGGGTCCAGGGCCATGGGGCAACTCGGTCAACTCAATCCCAGATGCGAAGCGAGTCGTGGGGACTGCACCCTGTTCTACCGAACTGCAGGATCGCAGAGACGACTGTACAGCTCCGCAGGGAGGAACACTCGTGGTAACGAGATCCAACTGCGATGGAGGCAAAGGACGGCGATTGCATCAGGAAGCTCATAACTGATCCGTAGCCTTTCAGAACTTTCAGTAGCCGTGCATTTGGCTCTTAGCCTCAGGCTTTTTCCCGTGTCCCGGATGCCCACGTCAGAAAGAGAGATGCCAAGATCCGAGCCAGCGTCTTCCACCTCGCAGGTCTCGTGTCAGTGGCTCTGTCACCAAGCGTCTGTTCCGACGCTCTTCCTCTTGGGCTTGCAATCCTGTCAGGGTGCACCTCTCGTCCACGTCAAGCCGGAGGCTGAAAGTGAGCGCGTTCAGGTCGTTGGATTGGAGGGATGCCGAAGGGGAGTAGTTGATGCTGTTTCAGTCTCCGACATGATCCAACATGCAACATGGCGGCCTCGCAAGCCCATCGTGGTAGGGCGACTTGTCCTTCCATGCAGATTCCAGCCTCGGTCTGCGCGTCTGCCATGCCCCAACGGCTCCAACAGAGCCTCTTCCCGACTCTTCGGGCCTGTTGGCATCGTCCAAGCTCGCCTCCTTGCTCGGATCGTGCCTCACCGGATCTCACCCAGCGCTCGCTGAGACGCATGGAGTTGCTGACGCAAAGCTCGGGCCAGCACTCCAGCACGTTGAGGGGTTGCAAAGTAAGTGGCAAGGTCTGGGCCCTGGTCTTCCAAAGCTCCTACGGAAAGCGACAGGTGCCTCAGCCTTGACATGACTACAATTTGTGCTCCGGGCCGCGCAGTCCTGATCCTTGCGGCCCCACACGATGACAGAGATGCCTCTAAGCTCAGGACAGCTGTAGCTCAGCTACTCGAAGCACCCCCGACTCTGCCGGCGAGCTGCGGCCAGGAGTGTGGCCAGAGGCCCCCGTGGAGCGGGCGCGGCGCCTCAAAACGAAACGAGCCTCACACTCCCTCCGGTAAGGATCCGAAGGCTTCCCTTTTGGCCGAGGGGCTGTCGCGGCACCCCGTGGACAAACTGGCGGTTCACGGAGTCTGTGAAGGCAAAGACATCGCCGTTGTGCTGCGGAAAGCTGAACCTACCGAGGGTTCAGGAAGTCCCAGCAATGCAAAGAGCCGCCTCCGGCCGAAGCCGAGCCGCTAAGTCGGCCCTGGGTCGCCGGCTGCTCTTTGGTCTCGCGATGCTCGAAAACAAGTGCACGCTCCTGGAAGGGGAGAGAAAAATAGCGAAAGCAGCAGACAGCTGAGGGCTCAGTGAAGCGTCAGCAGCACGCTGCGAGTGCTGCTCCTCACCAAATGAAGCCCCGATGGTCATGTTCACCCCGGAGAAGTACTGGTCTGAGTGGAAAGAAGTGAAATCCTGCTGTGGTGCATCCATCGCAAGTCGACACCAAATCAAGGGGGCGAAGGAAAGAGGTCCTCCCCAGATCTGTAGTGGTTCACCAGAGACCTTGGCAAGCCCAATGCCCCCAAACAATCATCGACGGCCCGTGCTATCCCTCATAACGGCTTGTCATTAGCCTCGGCGCTGTCTCTGATCTAACTTCCGCGCGTCTCTGGGTTTTGACTCAGTAGTGCACCGGATCGGCTCCACCCCGAAGTAGCCGGCCAAGAAACGCACAATGCGCTCGTAAGTAGGTGACTGACGCAACCTGGCCGTCTTTACAGTGCCTCTGAGGTCTCAAACAGTCTGGAACAACAAACAGAAGCTTGCAACACGCATGATCCAACACTCTCTGCAGCTGTGTGCAAAATCATAATCAGTGACGGCTGTGCTGCGACTCAGATCCCAGAGCTGTGGGCCTGCATGGACATCCGTTTCGGGTGGGCAGACTTGCAAAAGGCAAGCAGTCCTGTGCAAGGCGAGGCCACCACTCATCCATGCAGGCCTCGAGACTCGAGAGGAACATCGCATTACAGCCGACTTCCGGTTTCTGCTGTGTCCTCCAAGGCCTTCTACCTATTGCGCCGTCGTAGCCACCTGCCCTTTCGTTTCCTTTTGGTGGTGGTGGTGGTGGTGGTGGTGGTGAGTCACGGGTGGCAACGCGCAGCCCAATGTACACCCGGTACAGCTCAGTCCAGAGCTTGTACTCCAGCTCGGAGAGAAGGGCCTTCGCATCACCCATCATACTTTCCTACAGCAGCCACATGTGAGAGCCCCCACCTGGTAGGTAGAGAAGTCAACCGGATCAGCCACGAGTGCCTGCCGGGTTCCATCGCGCTGCTGTCATGTCCATAACGGAAACGAAGCAACTCACACACCCCGAGCAATGCTTGAGCTGTGGGAGGCGCATCGCTAAACAACGAAAGCCACTGCTCCCGAGCATCAGCCCCGCTTTCCCCATGAGCGATCCTTGTAGTAGTGCGCATTGCCATCCAGCACTGAAGAATAGACCCTGTCTACGGCACTTTCCACCAGCTTGAAGTTCGACTTCCGGCCGTGGAGCCCCCGGAACCTTCACTGCCGGGCCATGTGGCTGTTAAGCACGGCAAGTCGCAGCTGAGATGCAGACGCTTGTGCTGCTGCCTGGTTAGAGGCCGCAGCTGGCATTGTGAGGGATGGCGGGACTCCTGGCGCCGGCTTTGTGGCCTGCGCCTGTCAAGCTGCGCTACACTGCGGATCCCCACTCTCCCACCCTTCCCTGCCTGGCTTGCTTCATCCGCCTCTCTCCTGTCCTTTCTCCAACGTGACCTGTGTCCGTTGGGCAGTCAAAACAGCTAAATAGCACGAGTAAAGCGAAGCTGAGATTCCGGGAGCATCTGGGGCATGTGCTTCTTTTCCAAGCCTGTGGTAAATGCGCAGGTTTGCTTCAGCACCCGTGGCCTTCTTCCCTTTGTAAGCAGGCTCCCTGCCTGGCTGTGGCTGGCTTACGCTGCCATCGCTCACACAGATGCTCGTGGACATGCTGCCAAGATCTGGCACAAAGCCCCAAGAGTTTTTTCAAGGCTGCGCGGTAAACGGTATACTGTATCCTGGTACGACTTCCTGTACTGCTGAACAGTCCTTGTGGTTTCTGCTGTATTCGCCACGCAATGGCTAGAACTGAAATCTGAGCAGGCCATTCAGAGTCAGTTACTCTACATCTACAGTTGGACGGGTCCAACCTGCAAGCTGCCAAGCCGAAGTAGCAAATGTGCACAGGGCAGCACGGCTTCAGACTAGGTACGAAGTCACTTCATGAACCATTTGTGGCTGTGTGTGCTTCGGAGGCGTGCTGGTATTGTAAACATCTGCCATCTCTCAGATCGACATACCTTGATGTCATCCCAGTCACGGTTGCACTCCGTTCTGAGAGGTGGTTCATGGATGTGCATTTATGGACAGCGGCCTGTTGCAACAGGGAGGCTTCGTGCCGCGGCACCAATCATTCTAGTCCTCTTCATCCAATCTTGGATCAAGGGGGAAAGGGACTCTTAAGTTGACCATGTCCGATAAACACACACTTCGCTGTCTATGCACGTAAACGATTGCATTGCCGATGCAACAGAATGGCAGCAGAGGTCGCAAGTATGACGCTGTCTTAGGCGCGAATCACCTTCCTGTCGGTGCAGGGGGCAAGTTCCGCACTTCCGCTGTAGCTGCGAAGAAACTGTGGATCATGAAGCTGCAAGAAGTGCGCAAGCCCAGCCCCGACTTTGCTAGGACTGCTGCGATGAGCATATCCATTAGCCCTCAGCCACACGCAGCCAATGCAAGGCTGCGTCCTACGCGTGGACCGAGGGAGGACCCCACCGGAGATGGCCGGGTGGTCGTTCAAGCTCTTTCAAGCCTACCTTAAAACTCTGTGCTGGGACGCCCTGCCTTGACCCTCGCGTGGTGTGCAGGATCTGTGTTCGGAGACGGAGGATCAGTCCCCCGGAACAGATCGGGCAACGGGCAGACCCATACAATACTCTTCAGCTAACTGGCAAGTTCAGAGTGCAAGCGGTGCTGCTTCAAAGGCAACCAAAATGGAAACCGGTATTGTCGCAGCCGGGCCAGCTTGCTAAACAACAGCCATACGCCAGCACTCTGCGAAAGATCACTCAACTCACGAGCAGCTTCTCGCCTTGGATGCACCGGACTTCTAGCCTCTATGCTGAGCTGTCACAAGAGGCTCCGAGCAATAGCTTCAGAGAGAGAGTGAGAGTCTGTTGAGCCTCTTGAAGAGTTCATGACCTGGTGCTCGGGTCTGTCCGAGCTCCTGGCCAACGCTTTGAGCTGTGGGAAGTTCCCCGAGACCTAAGTTCTGAGAGATCGTCAGGACATGGTGACATCAACAACGCACCTGCAATGGAGTCATTGCGACACTTCAGCACCGCAGGGTCTGAGTCTCCGGCTGCTGTAATCCTCAATACGTTGCAAGGACTTGAGCTCCCTGCCCTGAGGCTGCCTAAGTCTCTCACGCCACCCCCCCCCCCCGGAGGAAACGGGGATGCAGTGGGCAACGAAACGCTGCCGCGCAACAGTTGGGCAAGACTGCGCGACAATGAAAGCCGTGACTCTCGCGAAGCCTTCCACAAATAGATTGCGTACGACACGACACGTTGGGAGACCAGGGCGAGACGAATATACCGAGCTGCATCAGGAGATGCTCTCACTGTTTGCTACGGCATCTAGGGTCTGGAGCTGCTTGATATGATGAAAGGGCCGCTACCAACATGGAAGCAGCAAGCTTTCCGGCAGGACATAGTCACCAAGGGTCAACTGAGATCGCAGCATCTGAGGGTTGACAAAAAGTTTAAACTCGTACTCATGCCTCGGTCACCAGAGCGGGAGCATCAGCTGCTGGAATGCACTGCTTTTCAGAGGTCATACTTCGATCTCACAAGTTCCAAGAGCCTTTTCGCTTCAAGACCTGCAACCTGGATGACCATGGTGTACGACCGCAGTTTCGCGAACATCGGCTGTTTGAATAGATGCGATAAATTTTCTGGACAAGACCAACAGCCGGTTCGGCAGGAAACGGAAATGTTGTCTGCATCATAATTAAAACATTGCACAACCCTTCGCGCTCCGCTACGAAATCCACCTGTCATGTGACAAAATCCCACAGCCACAGCTGAGAGCTGAGAGCACTGCCCTGAGATCAGCGGTCCTCCGCCCGGCACCTCTCTGACACCAGCATGAACTTTCCTCGAAACCGTGCAACAACTACGAGGTCCCAAGCAATGGCAACCCTGGTAGCATAAGCTGCAGCTGCACGGCCGTTGGGCTCCGGCAGGGCTGGTCGGGACATTTGGGATCTTTCCGTGTAGACATAAAGCTGATTCGAAGTCTTAGACCGCCAACTGCACAAGCACGTCATAGCACATCGGTTGAGAATCGGCTGATCCAGAAACCTTATCTGCTATTCACAGACTGTCTTTTATCTGCTCGTGTCTTCCAGTCTGACTTCAGCCCGCCTGGGTGTGATTCACGTAAATATCTCGGCCATTGAACCTGTCCCGTTGTCCCATCCGGTGTCAGCAAAAGTACAAACTCTACTGCTTACACGCCCCAGCCATCCCTTCGCCCTGAGGCTCGAACTTGCTTTTCAGCTCCTCGCATGTGAGGAAGCCGAAGCCGTTCGTGGCGTTGAAGGACTTTACTCGGCCCTTAAAGACCTGCCCAGGGCTGTCCTTCTTCTAAGGAGAAGAGATTACTTTCAGCTTGGCCTGTCATAACGGATACAGAACGAGAGAAAGAAGTTGGCTTAAAGAACTTGTGATACGAAACTGGCACCAAAGACAGAGGTAAATACACCGCACCGCTACACCCAACCTGCGGGGAGGGAAGTGACGGTATAGCTTCGCTTTTGACCGCACCACGCGATGCATAAATGTGGGACTTCAGCTCCGTGGTGTTTCCCCGAGCATGAGCTTTGGCTTACGCAGGCTTGGACTGCACAGGGTGCAAGAAAGAGAAAGTCCCAAATTGCCATGTTTTTGGTTAAGCCAGTGGGAGTGGGAGACACCGCACTATTGCTTAGTGGAATCTGAAATCTAGCACGGACACCGAAGCAAAAGGAAGGAGCGAAGAAGAAAGACTCCTGCCCGCTCCGATGCCTGGACTTGTCACATGAAGCTTCCGAAGGGCCTTACGACTTACGAAGGGGGACGGGGCGACCGTAAGCCCCAACATCTTAGGCCCTACAAAACAAACTTTAGAGTCCATGCAGCATGATGGGGCCTTAAAAAGCAAAATCAATGACGTGCACATAATCATCAGCTACAGCCTAACACCCAACTTCAACCCTTAAAAATGGTAAGCCCCAAACCCCTAGATCCTGAACCCTAAACCCAGAAAGCCTGAGTCTCCCCCCGCGGCCGTGCTCAGAGTCTCAAGGCTGAGCGCTTGATATAGTCTACCTTTGTAAGACAGCCCTTGAAGGCCCTCCGGAAGCTTGGTATGACAAGTGCACACATCGGAGTCCACAGCTACCCCGACACGCGAATCATAACATGAAAAACCAAATGCTAAAGATTGGATAGATTGCACGCGGTTACTCATCAAAGGAAACAACGCTGAAACATGTTGAAACCATAGTAGGTAAAGATGGTATCCCTCTGGTTCCCTCCTAGGCCGGGTCGGGCTGACACTTGCTACTCGACTGCTCTTCCCTCCAGCTGCCTTTCCAACGAGCTCCCGTGCCTCTTGTCCTCCAGTCACCGCACACATGAAATTCGTCTGAGACCGGCATCTCCGAGGACAATACCGGCCTACACGGCGAAGAGAAGCCTTTAATCTTACTCTCTCCCTCTCGCTCTCTACAGTATCTATCTGTCTGCCACTGACCAGTCTTCACGATGCCCCTTTGCGTCCTGGAGCTGAAGTTTTCGGTCTGTCCACCTTTTCGGCCTGGGCTTTGCTGTGATGGGATCAGCAGCCCGCATCCGCAAGCATCGCATTCCGCCTCCATTCTGGCATTCCGCGCCTGCAATCGCACCAGCAGAAACTCCCAAGCACAACTTCCGATCCCAGCTCAGACAATCCCTGCTATCTGCGCCTGGGGTTTGCCGTCCTTGCTCATCTCCAGGGTGAAGCTGACTCAGTGCGTTCTGGGATGGGGCTCGGACATGGCAGAACGAGCTGATCGCTCCTGCAGCCTAACCCCACGAGAGGCTGGCCAAGGCTGCCCAGCTTGATGCCGCCTTCCACAGCCTGGTTCAGGAAAACATCGTGGCCTGCCATCTTCCGGATGTTGAAACTTGTACATGGGGATCGTCGGAACGAGTGCGAGAGCACCCTGCTCTGTCATGTTTGCAGCAGGTCGAAACGCCGATCTGTGATATGGTGGCATGGCAATGCTTTGAATGCACCCGTCAAAACACCTCCTAGGTCCTAGGTCCTAGATGAGACTTACATGCAGGAAAGCCGCACAAGGAAGCACCCCGTGCAGATAAAAAAGGCAGGCATCGTGCTGCACTGACAAGACGCAGCACGAGGCCCTGTAGCAGGGCTATGATCCAGTGGAACGTGCACAAGGCGTGAGGATCCAAACCGTCTAACTGTGTAGAAATTTCTGCAGCTCAGACGTCAGGGTGCGGGTCCACGTCCTGACGATGAACTCCAAGGCACAAGTTCAGGAGGGCTGCCAGCCTTGCAAGGGCACGGCAAAACTTGGCTTGAGATGCTGAGACCATCGACAAGCAAAGGGACCACAACTAAGACCCCTCTGTGCGCTCGCCTCGGCCCAGTAAGCACTAAACGAGCCTTGACTCTTTTCCTACCTCTTGTTGATGCTCACGCGTGCGTGGGGGGTCTCGACTCAGCTTAAAGGAAATTATGGCAACCATGTGCCAGGTCACATCTTGCAGACTGTGGCCAGTAGCAGACAGCCGAAGCCTGCGATGGGAGGCAACTTATGGAAAAGCGCCCCCGAAGGACGCTCAAAGAAGAGATCTCGCGCCGTGACTCGCCGTAACTCTGCCTGACCTGGGCCCAGCTCCGGCTGCAGGAAAAGCTCTGCGCGGCGTAACGTGGTGATGCCTCAGAAGTGGCCCATGGATCGTATGCCTGAAAAAACGAGTAACCAGACATCCCAGACTCATCCTGGCTCTAAAAACCATCAAAATTCCTTTCAATGCCCAGCTGCAGGTGCCATGGTAAATTGCCATCAGGCCCAAGTTCCTTACTGCGCTGGAGTCCATTTTGCTGAGACATGCTGGTCAATCTTCCGTTGCTTCACTTTGCTTTCTGTCTGCAGGAGTTTGGGAGCTTGCATGGCTTTGCACACAATGCCACGGACAAGCAAGCGTCGCTATCCCTCCGATAATCCCAGAGAGCACCAGCAGAACCTTGTTGATGGCAGTGTCGCGCCACATCAATCCTGGTACGGTCGGTGCTTCAGCTTAACGGTCACTTTCTTATATGGGCCAATGCATCCTAGACTCGTGCGGTTGTTCCTTGAATTAGTTTCACATAGGTCGCCTCAGCAGTCTGCTTTGATACGCAGGCCGACATCGCACAGAAAACCCCAAACTTGCAAGCAAAGCTCCATGGTAATGAGGATCGGCAGCAACAGTACAGCTGTGGCATTGCGGCAGGCACTGCACTGGACCCTTTCCAGCTGCAAGGAGAACCCGCTTTTGGAGAATCTCTCGGATCCTCACTGAAACGCACGAAACGGACTTCACCCATCTGCACACTGCACGCTCGATTCAGACGAGCCAGGCAGCTTAGCTGTTCTTCGACAGGACAGGCCAGAGCATTCCTAGGTCTGGCAACCGCTCGCTTCATAAATGGCAGCAGCGCTTCTCCGCAATAACATGACGACTGAGCTAAGCCGCAGCCATTGTTTCGGGACTATGATTCGGGCTGCCCCAGAAAAAGTTTCGGGATTTGCAAGGATCTTCTGTGATTTCATGGAAGGAAGAGGATGTCTGGCCGGTATTTCCGGAGTCGATGAACCGCCGAAATCTGGCCTGGCCGTCGTGGTCCAGTGCGGTAGCGCGCTAGCTAAAGCTTTAGCTGTCTCGGGGTGCCGCCAGTGCCGCCGATCCCGCACCCCCTCCTTGGATATCATTGAACCTTACGTTTCCCGTCCAGGGGCTGTGAGAGGGCATCCCGGGCGCGCCCCCTTCTAAGCAGCTCCGATGAGGCTTCCCCTACGGCATGGCGTGTTTTTGTGTTTTTGGAAGCCGTGGCAGGAGCGCATCATGAGCATCAGGAGCACCCCTTCGAGCGCCGAGGGGAGGCCTGGAGCATCTCTGGGATTTTGTCGTGAAATGATATTGCGCAATCTTCGGCGCAGCCCCACGAACGAGAAAAGAAGCTCCAATCGCAACGATGATACTTCGGCATGTGGGTCTGGGGTCGCCTCTAGGCGGTTTCAAAGGCCGCAAGGCAAGGGAAAGGAACCACCAACGGTGACAATGATACTGCTGGCAGGGGGGGGGGGGCGCGCACAGGCCCTTAATTGGAGTTTCGGCTTTTGTCCTTGGGGATTCAATTCTCCTTGGATCGTGCACTTTAAGCTAAGACGTGTCGATCCAGGATTCGGATTTCAGTGCTTAGGGTGCTAGGGTTCAGGCCTTAAAGGGGTTTCAATTTGAAGGATCTGGCTCCCTTGAGCTCGGGGTTGCCAGGTGTAGGGTTCAGGCTTGGGCTTTCTTGATCTAGGAGGGTGTCCTGATAAGTGGGATTCAGGAAATCAGGAATGTAAAGAGTAGGGTAGGGTAGTGGGTTTTGAGGTGTAAGCTTCAGGGCTTGAGCGGTGTGTGGCGTTTAGAGTTGGGTGTGGGTATTTTAGGGTTGTGGTGTGTAGGGTGCAGGGTATTCGGGTGCATTCGGGTTTAGGCTTTTAGGCTTTTAGGCTCTGTTACGGCTTGGGTTCCCAATTTCTTTGCGTCCCTCCTTCATTCTTTCTTTCCTTGCTTCCTTCCTGTGTCCTTCTTGCTTCTATTCCGCTGGCTCCCACAGATGCGGATGGAGAACAACTCACTGCCAGAGTCATCCAAGCATCAGTGGTACACATCGGTCGTGGTTACCTGCGGGCAGGCACACTTGACCACTAAGACCACTCAAGGCCTGCACTGGTACGTTTTAGGTGGGTTCACTTTTCACTATCGACTCTTGCAGAAGCTTCGGATGGCAAATGCCGAGCCTGACCAACGTTCCGCAAATGCGGGGCTTCGCAAGGAGCCCTCGGAGAGGCAAGCGAAGCGCATGCCCAGGTAGCGGAACTCCGGGCCATTGGCCAGCGTGATCCTCTGAGGCATGCGGGTTCGGCTGCTTGGCTTGCATGAGTTTGCCTTCGCCCTATACTGCAAAATTGCGATGTCTGTAACCCAAGTGCCACTGCCAAATGTCCAGCCGAAGCGTTCGAGCAGAACCCCGCGAGAGAGGCCGCCGACAAGCGTAACGAGCGTTAGGACGACACCTGCCGTAAAAGAGGCTGCGCTCAGCTCCTTACCGAGCTTTCTCTCCTGCCTAAGGCCACCAAGATCAGGCTGATGATCAACGCCTCAACTCGCCGAACCTGCACGGCCTTCACCTCGGGGCCATGTCAAGCTCTGCTGAGGGGTTTTAAAGGAATGCGAGAATGCCAAGGGGACTGCTGATATGTTCGCCACGCGCCACACGAAAGCCTGAATAAGCCTGCCCGAGTTCAATCAGCGGCTGCATCGTCGAAGTAAGCACCAAAAATACTACCTTGCTTTATTGAGTGCTGTTAGGATCTCACACACCCACAACACACACACTTTGGTACGGCACGAAAACCTGCGATGAGTTACTGACAGGAGCAAACGACGACAGATTGCGGCAACCATACAGAATGACAGAGAAGCTTCACTGTAGAGTTGGTTACTCCGGTGCAACAAGGGCCCACCGGTGAAAACTCGCTTGCAGGTACGTCTGGCTGCTGGCTGATCGGGCCACGCACTGACAGTGTCTTCGTCGGGGCAGGGACTGTCAGGCATGCACCGCCCCCTGCAGTGGTTCTCTCACTCAAAGCGTCGCCATGTCCAGGCGTGTACACACACGCACAGAGAGACGGAGAGACAGCGAACACAAGCGATCGACATCACATCCTGCCTGGGAGCTGTTAAGCCGCAGAGCTTGATGGCATGTGGCTCCTGGCACAGGGTGGGGCGAAGACTGTACCGTCAGTGCTAGTCGCTGTCGTGCTTACTGTCGCAGAGCCGCGCCTTGCTCCTCGCTCGATATCGAAGTATCGGTGACTGGCCCTGTGTTGCACAAGCATGCTTAGCTACCAAACAGCCTCAACTAACAGTCAACACCGCTGGCAATTGAAAACGGGCCTGCCTGAGGTGCATGACTTTGTGTTCCATCTGTCACGTCCTACACGAATCGCAGTGCCCTTCGGAAGGGGAATAAAACAACTCAGTCTGCACTCAGCCTCAGCACGGTCATCGGAATCGTTCACCTCCTGCAGCTTGCACCACCGTGCTGGATGAATCAAGTCTTAGCTTTGCTTGTCCTGGAATTGCGGTCGACAGCAACCCCAAATCGGGTACAGCTCGCAGCTGCATGGTCCGACCTCTCGTTTTCTAAGGCCGCAAAGGCACTCTAAACTCCGAAAAAAGCTAGACGTGCCAGTACTGCCTGCATCACTCACGATACTGAGCATGTGTTGACAAATGCTGAGATCGTACTGACAGCTGCACCTTCAGCGCACAGCACGGGTCTGCCATGGACGTCACTTGGAACTCGAAAAATGACCTGTGTATACTGGCTCTGGACATGACCTTGGCGATTTATGGGTTCCTATCAGCCTAGCAAGATAAGAGAAGCTCTGCTACAGACTGGCTCTTCCAAGGGTCGAGCAATTGCTAGATGTAAACATTCGACAGACCAGCTTCCTTAAAGATCGCAGTGTAGTCCGAGCTTAGATGACAACACATGTTTATGGAAAGAAGATCTCGAGCCAAAAGCTGAGAAGCGAAGCCGTGCAAAGCACTGCGATGTCGGATTGAACATGCCGAGTCCTGTCCACGTGGCTCCATATTGAATCAAGAGCCGGAGCTGCCAAACTTGTTCTTCAGCTCCTCAGGTTGCGACAAATTCGCAGCGGCTCTGATCGCACGTTCCTGCCTGTTCTTACTCATTTTCGCATCCCAGGTGCTGGATTCTCGATAAACCCCCAGCCATGCTCTGGCCGGAAGACCTCCCATTCGAGACGCTGCAAAGCATAACTGGAGCTTTCACTCATCTCCCCAGTCTTCACGATGCTAGACTGTGGAAATTCACGCTGTGCTCTTACATCCCGTGCATTCATTGATGAAGAATCCCTGCCGCATGCTCAAGATCTCTCTCGCAGCTGGCCTTAAGGATTCCTGAGTAGCCTCAGATCTTTTGGCGGAGCACTCTTGGTGGGTCGCTTACAGCGCGGTTAAGGCATATGAAGATGACAAGGTCCGCTTCCCAAGACCCGCTTGCCACAGGAGCAAACTGAACATCGCTCTGCAGATTCCAACTTGCAGCAGCAAGCATCCTCCTGTCTACTCTCTGCTAGTTGCTGTTAAATGCGTGCAACTCAGATGGCAAACTCAGCCAACAAGCAAACAACACACTGCACTTCTTCCTAAAGGTAAACTGCTTTCTGTTCGGCCGGGCAACGCTTTTCTTCTTTGCCTGCCAACAAGCAGTGCTTCACGGAGTCTCAGTTTAAACCTTCATGCAACTGAAGCGCATGCGATGATCTACTTTAAACTTACTATCTGCGCTGCAGACATCCAGACCGGCCTTTCGACACATTGGCCTAAGTGGAACTTAACAGCTTCCAAGGCATCTCCACACCGTGAGCGACACTGAGAGTCAGGCGTTTCTCGACGCCAAATCTTGGACCAGTGGAGAATTTTTTAACCTCGCACTGCACAAAGAACTGTCAAACCTCACCTGGTTAAAGACAGAGTCCTGTCGCTGCTCTCCGGTTGCAACATGCAGCCTCCTCGCATTTTCCAGCGCTGCATTTTCGGCTGCTGAGCGCCTCAGAATCAAACCGAAGATCAAAATGGAATTTCCGCCAAAACACAGCGTTGATCCCAGGGCAACTTGTTGCCAGGTCACTGTGCATCCGGGTCGTTGCGGGCTTCCGCCATCCTGCCGCCGCATGGGGGGTGTGTGCGAAGCTCTGCTCCGACATCAACGGCCGGCCTCTGCTTTTGTAACTGCTCCGCTGCCGCTCGCCTCAGCAAAAAACATCACTCAAACCCGCCCCGCCGGTCCCCCGCCGATGGCAGCTTGGCGCGGCACTGCATCGCAGAGGTCTCCTCCGCCTGGGCATTCCACAACTCCTTCCCCTCACCCCCCCGCCGTCGCACCCCAAGGCTCCAGCCCCACGGCCATCAGAGCCCTGAGGTAAACGCTTACAGACGGAACGGTGCCAAAAACAGAGATCTTTGGCGGGAAAGCAACTGGTCTTCCAAGTTGCCGTGCCTGGAACATCTGCAGAGACTGCAAGGCGGATTGTGCCACGGCACTGCCCTTTCCTCCGACGACATGCCCAGCAGTAGCAGTGCTTTGGAGCCCTGGTTGCCAGCCTGAGCCCGCTGAGCCAGGCATCCCAGCGCCAGGCTGGGGTGCCTCGAGACGGAGTCGAGTCTCGGGGCTCGGAGGGGCTCGGAGGGGCTCGGAGGCCCGTTGTCCCACTTTGGCCCCTGGCAAGGTGGGCCCCTGGTGCACGAGAAGGGCCGGCGGGCCTTAAACAGAATGCCGGGCCCGTTTGAAGCTAAGGACGTCCACGAACAAGGAGGGGCTCTCTGAGGTAACTGCATGGCTCTGTTCCCGTAGCCAGCCTGTGGCAGGCTTGGGGAACAAGCTGTAGACTTCACCAGAAAACCTTCTACGGTTTTGCTCGAAGCATCTAAATCCGGTCCTCGCGTTACTAACGTGCACAACACATCATCCCTGAGGCCACGACCGATCCCTTGCCTGCATTGGGTGGACTCCTCGTACGACATGTGAAATCTGTCAAAGACCCTCTGGAACAAGCCTAAGGGACAGAGGCAACTCCACCCCGCTGGCAGGACTGAAATTCCGTTTCTGCAGAGCTAGTCTTGCAAAGTTGTGGTTAAAGAAAACCTTGCGGCAAGGTCAAATCGAAGAGTGCCAGTAAGACACTACACTCACAGATGTGGTCGGTCCAGCTCTGATAGTGTTGGAAAGCGTAGTCGGCCATAGCCTGCCGCCAGTCTCAGATATCGTCTTCTGAAAATTTGACGAACATGATGGCCTCCCTATCCACAAAACGGTCATACGATGTCATGCGGGTTCTTGACTAGCTCCACAGATCTAACCAGAATACAACCTTCAATGCTGCAAAATGTTTCACGCATGCCCATGGCCAGCAAAACGCGCCGAGCCTGGTCCAGCCCTCTTCCGGGCACATTTGCGCCAGCCATGTCCTTGGACGGCTTTGGCACAGTCAACTCCACATCTACAAGGCCCAGGATGGCCTCTGGGCGTCGTTGCATGGCTTCTGGCTCCTGTCGAACCCATCAACCTACACGAGCTTCTACTAAGGCAGCCCCAACCTGCATGGGGGAGCCCAGGCCCGGTGGAGGGACGAAGCCAGCCGCCTCAGGGGCACGGAAACCCGACAGGCTCACATGTCCAACAATTTTGCAACCTTCAAACGTGGCAACTTTCCTCAAACCCTCAAACGTACACCCCACATGATCATGCGTATATTTGCAAAATTTGTTGCATGTCGAAACAGCTCCGGGGGCCTTTCTCTGTGGCGGCGGGCTGTCCATAATGCCGGCACCTGCTAACAAAACGTATCGAAGGAGGCAAGAATTATCAAGCTCGTCACGTGTCATTGCAAGATTTCCTTGTGTGCAAACCCCGCAAGCCACATGCGGACTCCCATTCAAATGTCACCTGGCGTGAGGCCAACACGAGAAGGCAACAAGACCACCTGCTTGCTGGGTTGTGTTCGATTTCACTCACTGATGTTCACTCAAGGCTTTGATGTTCGGCTGCACGTGCGCGAATATTTGTGTCTCGTATGGCAATGACGCCGTGAACACTGAACCCTCAACATTCGGGTCTTGGACGTTCGAGCAAGACTGGCGCGAACAACACTCCACGACCCACTATGATAGTCTTATGCGGTGGGCCCTTGGGTTAGCAATCGCTCACTGCCACGATGCGCTATGTTCCCCTATCCTGCATGGACCACACAATGTAAATGCAGCACAAAAATCGGTCAGATTGGGTTCTGAATTTAAAAGATAAATCTGAAATCGCAGCACAAGACCGACACCTGAAAGGGCGACCGTAAAAAATACACATCACTTGTTTGATCAAAACCGAACGCGAAGTACAACATTTTATGTCTTCAAAACAATCCAATGGATGATACTAATATAATATATACTAATCATATTATGGATAAACGGATAAACATAACTGAAAGCAAGCGCTCGGTCATCTTTCGTTTTTCAAAAGGGATTCACTCAGATGTCTCCGACCCTTTCTGCATATGCTCCGGGCGGAAAAACAAAATAAACAAATAACCGATGACATGAAATCAGGGTCAATTACCCAAATTGAACATTTGGGGCGACCTGCCCGAAGGGAAAAGCAACACCAAAAAGGGGACTGGGCGGGCGGGTGAAATTTTCTCAAGGAACCATTGTGTGGAAAACAAAAGAATCCACTTAACTCTGGGTCACAAACCAGGGCCCAACCAATCGTATACCCAGCAAGCAAGGCGACTGCAGAAGCAAGGCAAAGCTTTAGGTCCAGTCAGAACATAGCACCGTTAGGTTAACTGCACAACTAGGAGACAAAGCTAGGGCGACCCTACGCACTAGTGGCCTTTTTGGAGAACGTTGCGCGAGGCAAGTCTTGAGCAATCAAACTGCAAGTGAGACAAAGTTGGCATGAGACGTATAAGCAACCACGCTGCACGTACATGTACGCAAGTCGGTGACAAATCACAACCCCTCGACGCGAGCTCCACGCGTGAGAAATGCAGAGTTTAAAGTGTCACACAGCTCTGATCTGATCGTAAGTCGAGCCATGCCTTTTCCGGAAGCTAACTTGAAGCAAAGAGACCTTTAGACATGGGTCCATTCGTGGTGCTTGATCAGGCCTATGTTTCACACTGTACATTCGCAGCCTCTGCGTTTTCAGAACTGTAACGATGCACAATATCGGGATGTACCGGACAGGTCTGTGTAATCGTTGGTCGGGTTATGCTCTTTTGATCGACGTGCTCAGAGCAGCAGCTCGGCAGCATCGAGTCTCGGTGAAAAGAGATAGACCCATGAAGAAAATACCATGGCCAGCCATTGCACCCCTGTGGGTCTTCTCAGCTTCCGCTAGGACTCGGACAAAGCAGCACTGCTGAGGAAAGTGACGGAAATGGTATCTGATCGCCGCTTCACCATCAGAGCCGACACGAACATTGACTCTAGGTCGGGTCAACAAAGCACGTGAAGCCTCACCCGGATCCACTCGAAAAGACACCATGCGTCAACGCTATTTATTTCGATCGGCTACGCTCTACTTTCGGCGCCGTTGATCGTCTCGCCGAGCTGGGGGCCTATGTGTTCGATCGCCTTTCAAACCTTTTCCCTTGCCTCTTCCTTTATCGAATCCACCTTGACCGCCTTGGCCCTTCTCTCCTTTGGGGCTTGCCCTTGGATTTCCCTTTTCACGTATCGACGAGCGATCGTCGTTCAAGCCCGTAGCCCCGTAGGGGGCGTAGGGCGTAGGAGGATTCATCGGTCTGGTGCTGGTGCTCCGGTGCTCCAACAAACCTGCCGCGTCTTTCAGCGGCGTCAGCGGCCGAGATGGGCTTGCCCCCGAGCTCGGGACGGGACGCCAGGGCTCCATCCGCTGAGCTTTCTTGGGCTGCTCAGATGCGGTACGGACAGCAGCTCCATACTCAGGATGAATCGCTTCGGTGCCCTCGCTTGCTGGCGAGGGAGCACGGTCCTGCGCCTGCACCTTCTCATAGGCTGAGTTCTCCCAAGTCGTGTAGAGGTAGCTGCGACCATCGGCTCAATCCCTGCATTCTCCATGTTTATCGGGTTGCGGGGATCCGCGTTGCGCTTGATCAGGGTATGGGCGGCAAACTTGCTGATACTGGGCAGCAAAGTATCATCGGTAGCCGCCATCAACCCAGCGATGGTAGCACTCCCCAGACTGGGATCCTCGATGGCCGTCTTCATCCTAAGAACCCTAGTGAGCTTTAGCTCATTAGCGCGTGGTGATCGTCCGCTTACCTCGAGCAGCGAGCACAGGTCCATCGGAGTGCGCAGGCTCGACTCGGGCCCGTCTTGGGAGGGGAGGTCTTCAACTGTGGAGGAGCCGGGACCTCACGTTCTCGTACATGTGCGATGGATAGACAGAAGTGCCTTATTGGTCATCGATTGCACATGTGACTCCAGTGCATCAAGGTCCATTTCATCATCATCGTCATGCGGGACGAGAACATCCAGTGGACCCTTACGCTGCGGTGGCCCAGCCTTCGAAACTATCTCGGGAGTGACGGGAGCGGCGGATCCGAGAACCATGCCCACATCAGCCTCGTCATCAGAGCTGTTGACCAGTTCCTCATCGAGAGCATGGAAGACACCTGCTTGAGAACCAACATTCCTCGGATCAACGTGCTCTGGCCAAGGTATTGTGACGGCGATTTATCGACCTCGTCCACAAACTTTGCCGTGGCTCGAATGTCTTCGGAAGAGCTTCTAAACCATAGGCAGGACCCTCCGCTTCGATCCCATTTCGTCACGAAGAGCAGATCCTGCCCCAGTGAAGTAACGAATCGGAGTGCGGCCCACAGGATCATGGTCTTTCCAGAGCTGACCCTTGTCGTTGCTGGCCTCTGCACCCTCGATCCCCTTATCCGCATCGTCAGAGATGTAACCGGGCTCTCGCTGAGCCTCTCTTGGATCAATTTCCAGGAGCTGCTATTCAGTGATGTTTGCCGGGGAAACGGCCTCGGGCTTTTGTCCTCTATCCCGAAGAGGTCGAAACGGCCTCAGGCTTTCCCCCGACGTCTCGGGAAACCCCGACTCCAAGATCCATGATGAATCCATGATGACTCCATGATGAATCCATGATGACTCCATGATGACTCCATGATGAATCCATGATGACTCCAAGATGAATCCATGATGACTCCATGATAACTCCATGATGAATCCATTATGAATCCATAATGACTCCAGGATGAATCCATGATGACTCTAAGTTGAACCCGAATCAAACCGATCTTTAGGCTTGGCTTTGTTGATTCGGCTTGGATACACCATAAAGCGTCTGTTCCCAAGAGTCCCCCCTATGCTACACACATTGGGTCTCTAGCTCTTTGCCAAGCTTCTCAGAGATCCTCAAATCGTAAACCCAGAGCTTCAAAGCTTCACTTTAGACACTTTCGAAATTTCGGAATTCTGAGGGAATCGAACTGTGGGGTTTGGGGATATGAAAGCAGCTTACGACACCCGTGCCTTGGAGTGAAGAGTGTGACGAGCACCTGCTGTCGGTAGAAAAGCGACTAAAAAACATGCCAAAGACGTGTTAACAGCCGCGATCGCAAGAGATTTTTGTTCACTGTTTCGGACGAGCTCTGGAAGGGCATGAATGTGCCTTCGCTGAACATGGTTGTCAAGATGCTTGGAGGATGAGCACAGTGGAAGCCGTGCAACAAGCAACTGGCAAAAGTTGATGGCAAAAGTTGACGGAGATGGTTCAGCTTTCTGGAATGCGCAAAAGAAAGCCAAGAACAACAACTGACCCTGATTATGATGCACACACTTCCTTTTTCCAGACCAATCTCAAACCAATTCAAAGCAAACACACACTATCGACCGGGAGTTGCTGTTGTCAGCGTCAAGTGCTGCAAGCACATCAAGCCAGCTTTACCATGACGAACACCAAGTGTTCTCTGCCCTCTAAACGTGACAGAGAAAGACAGTATCGAGTCTTCTATGGTCGGCATTGTCGGCATCGCGGCATTTTCATTGCGATGCACTGATCCTGCGCGGTGCGTAGTGTTGAAACCTGGCTGAAGCATGGAAACGCGTCGAACACATCAACTCCACTGCGCAAGAACACCAGCATCCAACTCGGCATTCAACTTCCGCATGACCGCATCTTGCCGCAAAAGGCAACTTGAAAGGCCGGACGATTTGATTCAAGGAAAGAAGAATTAGTGCTGCAAAGGCACCATCTAGCTCTGCACATCCTTGTGCAAGGTCTCTCAGTTTTCACGTGTCAAGATTTGCGACGACAAAGCTTCTTCCACAAGAAGCCACACGAAAACGCTTTGGGGACGAAGACTTGTAGAGCGGCACAAGATGTGCAAATGGGTGGCGGGCTAAGTGCAGTCTGGTAGAGATGCTACGTTCCGCTTCGCTCCACTCCGCATCTCTACCAGACTGCACTCTGTTCGAGTTTCTGAAATGGGAGATGCGAAAACACGGCGACAGCGAGCGACAGGTGAGCGATAGGTGAGCGATAGGTGAACAACTAATGCGCGGCGCAGGGTGAGCGACCAATACGCACGGTGAGTGACAGGTGAGCGATAGATGAACGATAGATGAACGATAGGCGATGGGTGAACGAAGGTGAGCGATAGATGAACGATAGGTGAACGATAAATGCGCGGCGCAGGGTGACCAATGCGGTGAGCGACATAGGTGAGCGATAGGTGAGCGATAGATAGGTGAGCGATAGGTCAGGGTGAGCGACCAATGCGCGCAGTGAGCGACAGGTGAGCGATAGGTGAACGATA